ATTATACCCTGCCTTTACTCTTTCGAACATACAGTGCCTTGTGGTCCAATAAATACATGAAACTGCCCCTGTAATTTGGAGAATTGTAAAGAAATCTGACAAAACAACATCTTGAAAAAGCAGTATAAGAAGAAAGATGCTGTCCAGTCATTGGAGTAGAGGCACACAGTCTGGAGAGTCAGCAAATCTAAAAATGACAGGCCTGTAAGTAATCATGTTGCATCATGAATCTGAAGCAAGCCACACCAATAGCTCTTGGCAGAGAAACACCAATTTGTTTGTCCAATTAGGAACATCAGTTCTTCGCAGTTGCAACATCCCTGTAATGACAGAGTCTGGCCTTATGGATGTGCTCTCTAATAGTTGGTTTGATGCTTCTAAGAAGAACACGTACATCAGGTTGGTTAAAACCATAACCCTCTTTAGCAAGTGCATCTGCCTGCTCATTGCCAGGAATGTCACTATGACCAGGAATCCACTACAAGACAACATCCCTTCCAGACTCAATTAGAGAGCAAATCAGTAATCTGCACTCAGACAGTGGATGTTAGGTCTGTAACAGTTTGAATGGCAATGCAAGAATCCAAAAATATAACAATATTTTTATCAGCTATATTTTTAATGGCATGGAGGGTCATCAAAATAGCATGCAATTCAGCATCAGAGGTGTCACAGAAGTGCCCAATTGCCTCACTCAGTCGAAATAATTCCAAAAAGACACTAGATTGTTGTTGCTGTGAAGACAATAACATTGCCAAGACTCAAACTATGTGCAGCTCTTCTTTCTTGACTCTATAAAGTTTTTCAACATCCTTAAAGAAGAATATTTGCATTAATCAGATTATTTTATACTCGGACTCAAAAATAGTTTTAAGGCCCGTCTACACGTAGCGATTTTCTCAGCCGACAATATCTGAGATAGCTCGCCTGTCCACACGGGAACAATTTTCTCGTTAGTACAGGAATTCACTCAGCCAATCACTATAAAAGGAAGTGTTTCTGGCCTCTACAGCGTCACACTGTCTACGATTTGTAAACAAAGCTTACGGTGTTAACAAAATAGTCAAAATAATGGATGACTATTTTAAATTGCTACTATAGATACAGCTAATACAGCTACAATTTTGAACTTAGCTACTGCTACAGAAGGGGGAAAAATGCGTTTGACCCAATTTCTGGTTATGAATTTAATTATGAAGAGAAATTCATAGTGCCTTCGTAATTCCCTGCTCCGGGAGTTGCGTATTGAAGACACAGTACAATTCGGAAAGTATTTACGGATGATGCCGCGTGATTTTGTTTTTTTTGCTAAATTTAGTTTGCAGAAAAATTTTTAAAAAAATGCTTTTCTTTTGTATACTGAGTACACAGATTACTCCTTTTTTAGTTTGTTTATTTATTTTTAAATTTCACTTTCTGGCACTCCTATTTGTGCATTTAAATCTTGAAATAATAAAATAACCATGTTTCAGAAAAAATAAGTAACTACTGTGCTTTAAATCAAAACCTTTACTAATGAATAAGTAGATAATAATATGAATATCAAACCAATATGAGTAAAAAGTATTAATAAAGAATAAAGATTACTACATTACAAAGCAACAGTATAATTTCAGTGCAAAAATTTTAAATAAGAAATATCATAAAGGTGCAAAGTCTTAAATAGTATATTATTGAACATTAAAAAAACTAATATCAGCATAATTAAATAACTAATACAGTCTGAAAACTATGATTATATGACTCTATCAGTTAATCAGCGAATAAAATTTAGCAATATTGAATTAAATTGGGCTGTAATTCCCTTTCGCAAAATTCAATTAACACAAAACTGAGTTTGTGACTTTTGACTTTCTTTTGACCAGTAGATCTAAAACACGTGCCAACGGCCATTCAACAAATTCTATTTAAATGTTTGACTTGCTTTTGATTGAAGTAATAACCATGCAATACTATTATGCAAGACTAGCCTTGTAGACAGTAGATTTACTGTTTCCAGAGCATTCTTCCCGTTGGACTGGATTTTGGTGGACCATTCATAACAAAAACCTAATATAACTTGCAGTAGAGTAAGAATTTATCACACATTGCTTTTTTTTTATCTGTCTTGGCTCTAAAGCAACACACCTTGAAGTTTTTCAAATTTATCTACAGATGCCTTTTTAGCAACTTTAAGATGACTTACCTCCAGACATAGAAACCCAGTACATTTGTATTCAGATAACAAAATGGATTTGAGGAGCAGCATCCTAAATAAAAGAACAACCCATGCTTCTCAATTCTGCTAAAATTTAAAATTTGGCAGAACCTATTGTACGGCATTTTATGACACTTTTAGCTCCACATTTTGGGGAATTGTGGGAGGCTGGAGCAACATTTATTCAAAATTTGCAAGCCAGCTATCTTACCTTTTAAGAAACTTACCACTCTAGTAATACAGATTGAAGCATTTCTTAATTCCCAACCACTGAGTCCTCTTTCTTCATATCCTTAGGATTTAGAGCCTCTAATCCCATAACATTTTTAAATAGGGGCTCCTATAACATCATTTTCTGAGAATAACAAAATTGCTTTGCTTTAATTTAAGCTAACATTTGATTCAGTAAGACTTAATCCGTTTTGATCAAGATGACAAAGAGAATGTCTGAATCAACTGCAACTATGAGAAAAAAGACTTTGTGTGCAACGAATATTCAAGTGAATGGGTTATAAAGATTCTCTTCCTCCTAAAAAATGGAATCTTGAAAGAATCACAGAAGTTTTCATTGGAAAAGACAGAGTCATTTGTGCTGCTGAAGTAAAAATATCGACTAGATTTTATTGGCACCATATTTTTAAATTATGCCCACTTCCTAAGTATTCATCTTGAATATCAGAGTTAGCTGAGATATGTTAAGTATTTTTAAATTCTGTCCACTTCCTAAGTAGTCATCCTGAATGCGAGAGTTAGCTGAGATATGTTAAGATTCAATATATTTTTGTCTTATTTTATCATTCTTTATAGGTGGTGCTATCCTCGCACAAGATGTTTATTACTGTATGTGTAATTTTTATTTTTGTTTTATTTTTTGTGGCAACAGATTTGAAACCAAAAGAAAGAATTCAGCTTTCAATGAAAATGTACGCATGTAAAAATTCTACTAGTGCACATAAAAGTCTAAATCTTTTTATTTTGTGTCCTTATTTATTCTATCAAAAGTCAAATGTTTTTAGGTAACTATAAGTTTATAAAGACCTATTTAATAATTAATTATTGAACTTACCACCAAACACAAACAATGTGGGAAGCCATCAGTTTGAGCCTAATCAGAGCTCTAACACACAAGATGTACTGCTTTTCTGGCTGGTGAACAAAGAAGATAAGGTAATGCCTTTAAAATGTTACTATACTCAGTATTAGCAAACAGATAAATTTATGCGGTGCTTCAAGTTAAACTTCCTATAGTTGCCAACACTGAAATATGAAAAACCAGGTAGTTCTCCCAGGAAACCAGGAAGTTTACAGATGTTTTTCCTGATGCACAATAATGCACGTTCAACTGATTCGCTACATATGTCATCAAGCTGTATCAACATACAGTCCATAACTGGAGACATTTTACAAAGTGTACAGTAGGTTTTAATTGCTCAGATATCAATATGGACAATTTTCCAATGATTTGCTGAGGCAGGTTTGGCATCCAGCTATCCTTTCCTTGCAATAGAGTGTCATGGAGTCTAAAGGGACAGTGTAGTTTTCAGCAACAAATTTCACTTTTGCCTAATAAATTATAATCAGTGCATAAAGATATGGAGGCAACTAGCAGGCAATTAGCCGCCTGATTTCATTTTCAAGCAACACATGTAGACTAGTGTGGGAAAATGCTTTTTGTGCCATTAGTGCTGACAGCTGTTCATCATTAATGTACATTTCAAGTACATTATGTAATGATTTGTTGCAGCCTTGTCTTCTTTCAGATCTTCAGGATATCCCAACTATCATTTTCAACAAGATAATGACTGGCCACATACTACTTGGCTAACTCTAAATTGTATGGTCTATAAGTGCTTAATTCCCAAGACTGATCCCCTGATCTTTTGCCAATCTAGCATTTTGTGGAACAAAATTTGACATATGTTACATACCTCTCTCTCTTGCATGAAACAAAGATGATTGGTTTGGTGCAATAACATGTTCAAGAATATATCATTTACATCTTATTCTTATTCTTTTATCTAAATGTCTTATCAAGGTACATCTTTGAAAAATAAACTGATTACTTATGTATGTACAAAGTTTAGTCTGTTTCCAATCATTCTTTCAATGTGCAGCATTTTGCCTGTCAAGAAGTGTATATTCCAAATTCAAAAGCAACTGCTGCAGAAGGTATTAAAATACATGTCTTGAAATATTATATTATTGAATAAATAAATTGCAGTTGGTGTTATGAATAACCATGTTTTCTGGTACATCTTCTGAAATCTTGGAATCAAACTGGGCACAACCGTTCTAGATTCACTCAATTTTTACCCCTTGGATAAGGATACTCATCTTTCAATGAGTCACCTAATTCCAGACTGCTAAATTTTGTCCTCAGTGCATTGTCATGACAGAGCTACAATTTCATGCTATAGAAATCAATTGAGGTGGAGCTTTGACTGTGAATGCGCCCTGAATTCATGCAAATTTGTCAATGGTATCTTCTTGAAAGCATTTTTACAACATCTAATTGAATAAAGGTGCTTTTAAAAAAGTAATATGAGCAGTGTTTATTAGACATCCTTTCTTCATAAGATCAATAATTCAATTCTAAAATAGCACTATCTAAGGGACATTTCAGAAGAAGTATATAAATATTTTATGACACCTGTGTAAGCCAGCCATACCATAGTCCTTCAAGATGCCATAACATACAGTTTCAGAAACAATATTCTACGATATGTTCATTAAATACTAGGTAACAGGTTTAAATAACTGAAACATTTTTTTTTTTTTAAAAAGGCTGTAATTTTGAACTTACACATATGGGATTTCATCATAATTTACATCTGTAGGAGAAAAGTTTGATATCTTTTTACCCTTTAATTCAGGCATTTTTGGTAATTTAAGCAAAGCATAACCAGTGGCCAGCTTCCCAATATCCAAATCTTAAAATAAATAAATAAATAAATAAGTAAATAAATAATATTTTAAAAGCATGCATAATAATAAAGAGTATTTAATGTGGAAAATTCAATTAAATAATGTTTCTAATATCACCTTTAATTCGAAACAGCAAACTGCATTCATGTTTGGTATAAAATCGAATAAATGAGACAAATGCTCTTAATCCCTTTTCAAAAACTTCCCTAAAAAATTCAAAAAAAATTAACATAAAAAGGTAATACTTAAATGGTTAGATTTTTTAAATTTAGAAGAAAATGTATTTATCTATCTAATATTCTAAAAAAATTAATATAAAAGATATTTTCACCTGCTCTTCACTGCCATTTTTCTAATTTTAGGAGTTATATCAAAAACAGCTGGTGTTTTTATTTCCTCCACAGCTATCTGAAAAGAAGAATTTGCATTTAATGTATCTTTACATTTACAGTTAGAAAAAGAAAAAAAAAATTATCTGCAACATAATCTTATAAAGAACTGCATTTATATTAATGCAGTTATTCAAATGAATTTGTATAATATAGCCCAGAAAAGATGTGTGTCATTGGCAAAGCCTTGTGTTGCCATTCGACAAAGCATAAGATATTTATATTTCCAATTTATTCAGAAAACTCCGGGATACAAAAGAAGTGTGCTCCTACTTGCAATATATTTGTCTTTTGAATTTAATAAACAAACTCAGTGATTTAAAAGAAACGTGTTGCTACTGGTCAGACTTAAATATTTTTATCTTCCACATGGCAGCGTTTTGTTGTTTAGCAGAGTGTAAGATATTTAATTTCTCTTTCAAATTTATTCTGCTATTAATTAACAACCTAAGCAACTTGAAAACAATAAATGTAGATTTATTTCAATTATTATTAATCACTAACTGGACCTGTCAAATTACATTAGCTAAATAAAAATCATCTCCATACATAAAGAAGAATGTTTTCAAGTGTTATTCATAAACATCTAGAGTTTTGATACACTCTTGAAATTTTGCCCACCTTACCTTCAAAACAATGGCCACTGAAGGAATTTATTATATATACATATATATATATGTTTTACAAAAAATAAACATAATAAACATTAGTATTTTTAAACAATTTCAATTTTGAAATCCCATCACCCATCTAAGGTCACATCAATGTTGTTGTGTTCCCACTATCAGTTCTTATTAACACTGTTGGATGTTATTAACACTGTTGGATGTTGTTAACTGTCATGTTGGATGTTAATGTTCATTTGCTCTTTAGAATAGTTGGGAGCCTTTAAAAGCAGAATTGAAGTGTGTTCTCTATAAGTTTTTAGCAAATATTTCAAAAACAGTGAAGAAATTAATCAAAATGGATAGGGACTTTTCAAAAGCTCATTTCTGAACATATATTTTTTGATATAACTGATATTTGATATAACTGATAAGCAAGTACAGTTCTCACTAAAACTGGGGAAAAAAAAAAAAAAAAAAAAAAATCATCCCAATCTGTAAAAATGAAGTCTCTTCAGTCTGCATAAAGCCCAGATGTCCACGACTTCAGCTGGTATATACAGTACAACGTTCGAGATCAGGAAGTCGAACATCTACAATGATCTAAAATCCAGACCTGAAAGCCACTAACTTTTTTTTTTTTTTTTTTTATGGGGGGGGGCTATGCTTTATGCATGTGCATTTGATTTTTCTACTATAATAAAACATGTGGAAAGTCCTGATTCTTAATTTCACTTCAGCACTAAATAAAACACCTTGTTATTGAAGAAACGCTCATTTCAGCATAAATTTGTGTGACCAATTATTTGCCTCCATAGCTCCATAGCTACTATGCATCGCAAAAACTCGATGTACAATTTGAATTGCTGGGTGCAGCATGAGCTGACTCAAGCAGATAAGGACAGACATGTTCGGGCCTGCACTAATCTGCTCAAGTATCAATGAAAAGGCAAAATTCTAGACCAGATCATCACTTGTGATGAAAAGTGGATTTACCTCAACAACACAGTCCAAAAGAGGGGTTGTCTGCCCCCGGTGAGCCCGTCGGCTGAGTCGCAAAGCTCAATTTGATTAACAAAGAGATCATGCTTTCTCTCTGGTGGTATTGTCATGGTATTATCCACAAAGATTATCTGGGAAAAGGTAAACCCTCAACAGTAAGGTGTACAGCGAGATGCTGGTCCGTGTTGAGGCTCTATCAAGGAAAATGTTGACTGAGTTTCGGCGCAATAAGAGAATTTTCATCAAATGCACAATGTGCTGTATTCACTGGCTGGACTCTATATAGATTCGAATGGGATCTTTTGCCACATCAACCGTATAGCCCTGACCTCGCTCCTTCGGACATCCACCTTTTTTTTACAACTACAGCTACAGCTTGCTGGTGCTATCTTCCATTCTGCACAAGATGTCTAAAATGAGTTTATCTATTTTAGGATTCGTGGCCACCAAGTTTCTGGGATGAAGGCTTTGAAAAACTACCAAAACATTGGCAGAAAATCATAGATTTGGGTGGTTACTAATCCATTAAAGGTAATTCTCCCCCTTCCCTAAATTTAATAAGAATGTTTTTTTGGCAGAAAACTTTTATTACAACCAGATACAATAACATCCCACATTATTTAAAATGATAATATAACAAGGTCTAATTTAGAAGTCAAACAACAAACAAGATAATAAGGTATCCAAATAGTAGTATGCAAAATTCTGTGTTATAGAGACATTAGTGCTAGGATTAATTGTGTTTCAGACAGAAGTAGCAACCATGAAAGTTTGTAAAATCTGATAAAAAGTGCTACTATCTCAGAACATCCCAAAGCCAAAAAGAACAGCTATGGTATCACCAAAGAGAACACAACTTGCATACTATGCTTTGACAAGAGAAATTTCTTAGAAGAATGGCTAGTGGACAGATACTAGTGTGGGCAGTGGACAGATACTTTAGATGCACAGTGTCAGTAACTTAAATCAGATAATTAAAATCTATGATTTAAATAAAATTTTAATCAGTGGATTTTTCTTAATAATTTACTAAAATCAGACAGTCTCCTACTTTCTTAAATAATGGAAAAAAGTTCCGCTGTTCAAGTCCTGTAATTGCTGTGCCGAGAACCGCTACTGTCAATCAAATTTTTGTTTTCACTAACCTCTCTGTCATTTTCTTCAGTGCTACTTTGGGTAGACAGATGAACTGATTTTGGCAAGATTTTGTTTTGGCAAGCGATATGACTTATGGTAAACCCATTGCTGAAAAATTATTTAACTAACTGATACTTTGCTGTCATTTTATTCAAAAAATAATGCCTTTCATTATGCATAAATTTCGCGTTTTAAATAAATATTATTTATGGCTTCTAAATATTAAAAATGAATTTCATTTTGTATTTTATTTGAAATAAAAATTTTATACAGTCAAAAGTCATCTAATCGCGACACCCATATATCCGGACTATCAAAGCTACAAACTTTACCTGCCGCATGTGTCGAATGTTTCGAGGTCCATCAAACAAAAAATTGTTTGGTTGTTTTACTGCCAAAAAAATGTATATCCTTTCGTTTTTCTAACCATCCGAAACATGTTTATCAATTTCACCGCGCCTCTGCGTAGATGAGGGGGGGGAACATCGCGTAAGCGCGCAAAACTGAAGTTGAATCTGTCAGCACTATCCTTATCTCAGCAAGCAGATGTTGTTAAATTTTATTCTGCTTATAAATTCTACTACGTGTATTTCATCTCGATGTACTGCCGATCTTGATATGATTTAAAATTCAAATTCCTCGTCATTTAATATTCGCTTCCGATATTAGCCCGGAATTAGAAGTGACACAGAGGTTATTGAAAATGAAAAACATCTCGAATCTGCAAAAAATAGTCAGTATCTACCACATTAGCAAGTATATAGACGTGAACAGCGGAACTTGTAAAGAACAGAAATTATGCTCCTTTATAGAAATTAAAGAGAAAGTATTACACAAAACGAGCCAACTTACTTGCAAAGAAATGTTAATAGTAAGATAAACAAATAAATACTAAGCTTTTTTTTAATTTTGATACCCTTTAGATCATAATTGTCTTATTCTCATAATTACGCGTTTCAGATTTTTAAGTTTTATAATTCTGTATGCCCTCTCCCAAGATTCGTTCGCTGCAAACTGATGATACTATATCCGGAAAAATCGATAACCGGAATCGCCGACAGCTCCGACGAAGCTCTGCGATCTTAACGACTTTTGATGTATTAATTTTATGTGGGGGAGATAGTTAATCCATGATGCACGTACTGTAAAAGTATGGTTTTAATATCAATAAATTATATATTTAATGAGCTGTAATATTAAAATACAATTTAATTTTGCATTTTATAATGATCTTCTATATATGTCTGTTATTAAAATAATTTAATTCTATGCCTAATGATGTAATCAGCTCCTGATTAGTTACTGAATATTACTGCGCATTTTAAAATTTTATTACTGCATCTCTTCGCATTCCTTAGAGCATTCCCGCCAATGGATATATCCTTTTCAAAGATTAATGCGTGTTTTGATAAGCTACAAGACTTATTGTATCGTCGAATCACATTTGTCTTGGCGATTTATTTTGGCCCCAATATGAGCTTTCCTATCAAACGATTGATTCTATACTAATTATTTAAAGGTCAGAGAAATTTTTTCCCCCCAAAATTATGTGACAGCGAACCTCGTTATATGCTTCTTTAATGAAATGCGAGAAATGGAGCGAGTCATAGATGAAGATCGTTAAGAGCCCGATTCTGAGGCAGGGCCATATATGGTATTACTAATGGAAAAATAACCCTGTAACGGGTAAAAAAGTATTAGACATTCTCCTTTACCAGCAGTAAAACTTTAATGATGTCATTAAGCTCAGTGTACGAAGTTCTTATTACTTATTTTAAAGATTGAATTAAGAATATTTTAATTTTTTTTTGAAGTTGTATGATGGTTTTTAATCATTTTTCAATTTAGTATATTTTAATCCAATTAAACGTTGCACGCAAGATTTTTAGACGTGTTTTTATTCTATTTCATTGGCTCGAAATAGTAATATTTAACCTTCAGTATTTCTATTACTCGTAGTAAATGTATTTATTTACATTTGCTGCCCACTTAAAAAACACGTTTCAACAAAAATTATCTATTATTTTTATGATATTTATGTTTTAAAAGTATCGAATACTTTTTTACTAGCGTAAATACGTAAAAAACAACATTTTTCAAGATGGCGCGATTGTCTAAAAAACGAGCCAATAAAATTGCACCAAAGTAATAACCAAAAATCCGTGCCAACCGTCTCTCAACAAGTAGCACCCTTTCTCATTCCTTTATCCATTTTTGCAGCAATTCACTTTTTTTGATGGACATCGAAACATGCTTTCACTTGCTGGATCTTTGG